CTGACGAGGAGCACGTCTGGAGAGCTTCTTGGTAGAGCTCACTAGGAAAGCCAGCACATGATCCGGTAAAGATTTCTCATCTCCAAATTTTCCAACTCTGTCCAAAATGTTGTACTTATTTTGTGGCCTAGAAAATGGAGTAGAATCTTTGTACTGAAATGAATAAGCAAATCTTCCAGTCATTTTCATGTTGATTTCTAGAGAATGGTGATTATCTTAGTTTGAGTGCCCCAGAAAGTAGAGCCTGAGGTCGAAGTGTAGTTGCTGTTGCTTTATTTGGGAAACGAGTACAGGAAACAGGAGAGTGAGGCAGGGCAACAGGGAAAGCCAGCATGGGTTGCTCCCGAGCTGACCACTGCTGGATCCCAGCGCCACTGAGTGCTCTCGATAGGCTCCTAAGGACAATTGGTCCTGGAGGTGAGGGACTCCCACTTGTGGGCAGTACACGGGTAGACTCCAGAAGCCGTAGCCCCTTGAGTTCAGTGTCTGTAGGGAAGCTCTGAGACAAGAGGTCCTAAGAAGCTGGTCAGAGTCTACACAAAATCGGGGTGGCTGGAGTGAAGCAAGTGGCCAGAAGCCCCAAGCAAGGAGGCTGAGAGGGTCTGAAGTTGAGTCAGATACGTAGTTCATGATTTCTTGGATGTGGTCCCCACCACAGTTACCATTCTGCCATGAACCAACCTCCGTGTTCTGGCCACCTGTTGAGAGAGCCCAGCCTTTTCACCATCGAGGACCTCTTATTTTCTCCCTTAGTATCTCTGGCTCGTCTACCGAATGGACTGTATTTATTGGGTAAATTCATTTTCCTACTGCACATTAATCAAAAACTAAGGGTGTTCAGTGAACCTGAGATCACTTACAGTACTGACTTGATGTCTTCTAGTCAAAAGCAAAGGTATTTGGCAATTTACATGGTTTGTGAGTCCTTTCTGGATCAGATGCACACTTCTAATTGGAATACCACTTCCTTCCTTCCTGCCCTGTGTGTGCTGCCATGTTAATTTATGCATGGCAGGCATGCCTGTATTAGAATTCTGCTTGTTCTCTCATTCAATTTCCTGTTTCTCCTGCAAGAAACTCAGTAATGTTCTTGACCCTAATTTTTTAAATTCAGCAATGGTTGAAACTATTTGTAAAAACATGAAATTGTGTGTAGGTTGCTTGCCATTCTGAGAATTAAAATTCTCTTCAGGGAACTTTTTCTTAGTTGTATAGGAACACAGTTTATTTTTGGAGGAATCTTAAAAACTGGAACATGGATGGCAGAGAAGAAAGACAATGTTTTCATGTTTTGTAACTTTCTGGTTTTTTAATAGCCCTACTGGATGGAGTTTTATTAATTCTTCACATCTCTGATCTCTAAAATATAAAAATTTTCTCATCTTGTGTGAGGTGAACAAAATATTATACGTATTTTGTTGTTATTACATGCAGTCGAGTCAGTTCTGACTCATAGCGACCCTGTGTACAACAGAACATAACATTGTCTGGTCTTGTGCCATCCTCACAGTCATTGCTGTGTTTAGCCCATAGTTGCGGCCACTGTGTCAATCCATCTCATTAAGGGTCTTCCTCTTTTTCACTGACCCTCTACTTTACGGACCATGATGGCCTTCTCTAGGGACTGGTCCCTCCTTATAACGTGTCCAGAGTAGGAGAGACTCTTCTAAGGAGCATTCTGGCTGTACTTCCAAGACAGACTTGTATTCAGTATTCTTCACCAACACCATAATTCAAAGGCATCGATTCTTTAATCTTCCTTATTCATTGTCCAGCTTTCGCATGCGCTTGAGGCGATTGAAAATACCAGGGGTTTGGTCAGGTGCACCTTAGTCTCAAGGTAGCATCTTTGCTTTTTAACACTTTAAAGAGATCTTTTGCAGCAGGTTTGCCCAATGTAATATGTCATCTGATTTCTTTTTTTTTTTTTTAATTTATTTTGTTGTTGTTCTTGAGAATATACACAACAAAAAATACACCAATTCAACAATTTCTAAATGTACAATTTAGTGACATTGATTACATTCTTTGCATTGTGCAACCATTCTCACCTTCATTTTCTGAGTTATTCTCCCTCATTAACATCAACTCACTGCCCATTAGGGATCTTATGTAATCTTTCGAGATGGCTGTTGTCAATTTGATCCTGTATAGATGGTTCGTAATAGAGCAGAATGCTCATGGCAGATCTTTTTGACTAGTTAAGCTAAACTGTTGTTCCATTTTAAGATGACTTCAGGGGATATTTTTGGTTTAAGGTTTAAAGATTATTTCAGGACGCAGTAGTTTGGGGTGTTCATTCAGTCTCAGTGACTCCAGAAAATCTGGAGTCCATGATAATTTCGAATTCTGTTCCACATTATTTTTCCCCCGTTTTTGATCAGGATTCTTCTATAGCATCTTTGATCAAAACGTTCAAAACTGAGTGGTTCTTCTGGTCTCATGGCAGATCAGGCAGTTGTTCGTGGAGGCAGTTGGCTACACATTCCATTTCCTCCCCCTGTTCCTGACTCTCATTCTTCCTGTTGCTCTTGGTGACCAGAGACCAATTGTGGTATGTTGGATGGCCACTTGCAAGCTTTTAAGACCCCAGCTACACAACGAACTGGGAGGTAGAACAGAAGCACTAAAAATGATATCAGGCCAATTAACTGGGATGTCCTGATGACCCTAAACCTCCAAACCAAGAAACCAAATCCTATGAGGTGTTTGGTTGTGCATAAGCAGACTCAGCGGCTACTTTTTTTTTTTTTTGTCATTGTGTTATTTGATTTTTTGACTGCTGCCTCTGTGGCCGTTGATTGTGGATCCAAGTGAAATGAAATCCTTGACAACTTCAATGCTTTCTCTGTTTATCATGATGCTGCTTATTGGTTCAGTTGTGAGGATTTTTGTTTACTTTATGTTGAGGCGTAACCCATACTCGAGCCTGTGTAGTCTTTGATCTTCATCAGTAAGTGCTTTAAGTCCTCTTCACTTTCAGCAAGCAGTGTTGTGTTGTCTGCATATTGCAGGTTGTTAATTAGTGTGGTGTGATGGATTGCTTTTATATGGCCTTTCTCACCATGGTCTTGTAACTCCCACCAAATGATTGGTGGCACTATGCAGATAAGGTGCTTGTTGCCTACCAAGGGGATTGAACAGCTTGCTAATAATATAGATGGCACTCTTGTGGGAGCAGAACCATGCAAATAAGGTGTATGGAACCCTGATGAGGTTGGTCAGTTTTGCTCTCCCGGTAGGCTTGAAATGAGCCATGCCAGAGGCTAAAAGCGGGGACCTCACTACCACCAAGAAAAGAGAGACGAGAGCATAGCGCATCCTTTGGACCTGGGGTCCCTGCGCTGAGAACCACGTAGACCCAGCAGACAGCAGACACCAGAGACAGTGCAAGACAGCAAGAAGTGGCGGCAAGCACGGCAGAAAACCGGAAGCAGCAGAACCAAGAGACCAGCAGGAGACGGCAGGCATGGTGGGTTTCCTGGCCCACAGAGCGAGAAAGCTGCGTGCCTTCGAGCAGGAGGCTTGCTGGTGGAGTGAGGTCCCTCTGGACGCTTATCGGTGGAGCTAAAGAGTTTTGTAATGCTTGTCCAAGCAGGACAGAGGCTGGGCCGAGGGTCCATGGGCTGAGAGGCTAAGGGGCCAAGTGGCCAGGGAGATTCCTGTCTGTGGGCACGGCCGAGAAGTTATCCTGACCCAAGAACTGTATTCTGAGTGTTCTTGAACCTGAATCGTAACCTGATACTTTCATAATAAACCCCATAACTGTGAGTATTATCTGTGAGTTCTGTGTGGCCATTGCAATTATCAAACCCAGCAGAGAAGTAGAGAGTGCCATGGGAAGGACAACTGGTGTCAGAATTGGTAAAAAGGTTGGAGAGAAGGAGGCATGTCTGACCTCCACCTCATAGGAATCAGCCTTGGGCTGATGCAGATGGTGATTGTCTCTTCCACCTCATGAAGTTAGAGGAGGTCAGACACCCCCACCACACTGTTTTTGCAATTGCTCTTCCTCCAATCCTGATGCCACATTCTTCATATAGTTCAGCTTCTCCAATTATTTGCTCAGCATACTGGTTGAGTAAGTATAGTGAAAAAATACAACCCTGATGCATACCTTTTTTTATTTTAAACCATGCAGTATTCCCTTGTTCTGTTCAAATAACTGCCTCTCGGTCTATGTACAGGTTCTGCATGAGTGCTACTAAATGGCCTCTATGAAGTACAGAGAAAATTGTTTCTCTATGGGTTAATAAGGGCAAGCTTCACAAATTTAAGCCTTGGAATTCCTCTTTACAAGGACCAGGTTAGTCCAGGGAGTAAGGTAACATGGACAGGTGGCCAGGCTGATGTATGGGGTCCTGGAAGGTAGGCCTCCTGAAGGTTGGGCTGCACCTTTGGGGGTCTTGAGGACAGAGATGCTAAGTCCTCTGTGCACACGCTAGCACTTGTGTGGCAGGAAGACCAGGTAGAAGACTGCAGTATCTGGTATTGCTGTAGGCCTACAAGCAGAGGAGTGCCAAGAGCACTCAGTTTTCCAGATAGCATAGGGCTGGGGAAATGGATTTGGCAAGGAGATTTCTTCTGTTTGCCTGTACCCCAGCCCTGGCAGGTAGAAGGCAGGCAGATGTGGGAATGAAGAGAAGCAGTTTGGCCTGCAGCACCTGAGATGGGTGTGTTGATGGAAGGAGAGCCAGATGGAGATGCCCTGTGTGGGGGCGCTGGGTCACTGGGCATAGATGTCATCGTTGTTGGGGGTAAGAAGGTGCATTCTAAGGGAATTCTAAAAGAAGAAGGAGTAGAGGGCCCAGACTCTGAGGGATGCCTCTCAAGTAGGAGGTGGTGGAGAGACGGACCTCACAGCCTTTTGGTAGCCAAGTACAAGCAGATGTGTCACACCTGGGGGACAGTCCTTCCTTCTGGCTTGCCGCAGTTAGGAATTGAGTACCCACACTTCGGGGAGCAGTGAAGTAATACTTGGATGTCTTCTTTGTCTTTAGTCATGGGACATATTTTTCCGCAACACCAATGCCGGAGCCCCCCCGGGCAGTGCATACCAAAGCCCCCTCCCCCTGAGCCGAGGCTCGCTCTCCACCATCGCCCGAGCACAGTCGCTGGTGGAGGCCCAGCCCAATGTTGACAAGCTTGTAGAAGACCACTTGGCTGTGCAGTCTCTCATCAGGGCGTACCAGGTAAGACAAGTGCAGACTTTGCCCAAGTGACAGGATGCGGCCTTTCTCCCATCCCATCGCGATGCCAGTGTAGCCTTTCTAAGTGCTTTCTCCCTGTTTTACCATCTTGGGGTGGCAGTACATTAAATATTACAAGAGGAAAAAGAGCTAGAGCATTCTGACCCTATCTGAGCTAGTCCTCTGGTACCTTTAATGCCTGCCATATAAATAGCTTCTTACTTCATTTCATAAGTTGGCAAGAAAGCAGTTTTATGTGGGCAGAAAAACCTGGTCAGTATTTGCCCATAAAAGAGAAGTAACTGGTCCCATCATCCAGAAGTGAGCAGTGACATTCTGGCTGGGCCACCAAGGACAGGAGCTGCTGTTGGGTTAGTCACTGCTTGTTCTCACTTGCTAACAACCAGACACCCTAAGAGAAAATTAACCTGTAAAATGTGAGGAAAGAAGCAAAACCCTCAGAAACCAGGAGAGGCAGCTGAGAGGGTCAGTTGAGTCTGAGCGTGGGTGAGGGTGGGAGCCAGCCTCATCCTGTGTATGAGTGTTGGGGCGTTTCTCCCAGCCCTTTCTCAGAGCTTAACTGCCTAGCCTCTTCCAGGATTTTCATTTGGTGGTGTGGGAGATAGCCCAGAATTCCAACCTGATCTTTACGCATTTATCATGCCTAGTTCTAAGGAGGAGAGGAGAGCAGCACACCCACTGCGTTCCCTCTCGTAGCTCCTTGAGATTTCTTGACTCCTCTGCTGCCCCTTCCATCCATGGCTGCAGGGGTGGCATCAGCCTGTGAGCAAGTGGAACTATGCCATCAAGTTCCCTTTTCTCTGACCCCTGTCTGTTTCCTGGAGGTGGGAATGTGGGCCGTTTTCTTTGTAGTCTTGCCACCCCAGGCCTTTGGGCAACAGGGGGACCACGTGCTGCGATGGTACAGGTATAGTAAAAGGTTGTTGTTGTCAGGTGCCGTGGAGTCAGTTCTGACTCGTAGCGACCCTATGCACGACAGAACTTTTACAGTAGTAAAAGGTAGTGCAGGGGAAAAGTGGTGGGTCCCTGGCCCATCCTGCCATGGTCTGGCAAACAAGGTTCTCTCCCCGGGGCAAGTGTATGCATTTTCTGTAACCCTTCTCCTTAGAAAGGAAGCTGTGTACACCAGAGTGCCACCCGCAGTGGGGGTGTCTCCAGGTGAGAGGCACAGTGGTGTTGGTGACCACCACCTGCGTTCAGTCCGCCTCAGTAACAACTTCGACTTCATCTTTCGGTGACGTGACAGCATCTGCTCCCGTTCTCAAACTACTAGAGAGACATTGTGGATAAACCGTTCAAGATGTAAAGAAACTTAAGATTTGAAAGCGTTTTCTTTTAAACAGTTCAGATTGGATAACCTGAGTCCATGTTGGGCTGTGGTCTGAGGCACCCTCAGCTCTCCACGTTGACGGCATGCCGTTCAAGGCAGACCTTTGTCTTAGGAAAACCTGCCATTACCCACTGCAGCTCATCTGTTCCCCTCCCTAATCAAGGCCAGCACCTAAGCTGTCATTTTCCTTTTCTGGGAGATTTTTATGTTCTAAGCTAAGGTAGAGTTTTCACTGGAATAAGAATTCCCCGGCATATCTCATTTCCACTTATCCCTGGAAACTGTGGAGGGAACCTGAATCCCAGGAAAATGGATCCTTTTAGACTGCAAGAGTTTACTAAAACTTGAGAAGTTTGTCTTTTTTTTTTTTTTTTTACAAAAGTGCATTTACACACAATAGTCCTTTTTAAAGGACTGTCCTAAGACTTTTAAAATCTAATTTTATTGTATAAGTTTATTGGTGCTAATGGTCCTCTCTGGGAAAGGTTTGTATGAAATATAACTCTGTTAGCCCTTTCCATACTTCGCTGAATCTCTTTAATGACTGATTTGTATTATTGCTTCCAGGTCAGGGGTCACCACATTGCAAAACTTGATCCTCTCGGAATTAGTTGTGTAAATTTTGATGATGCTCCAGTAACTGTTTCTTCAAACGTGGGTGAGAATTAATCTGCAAATGCTAATTTTAATGTAATTTTACCTTTTTTTACCCCTTCCCTCTTTTTTTTTCTCCTGTCCTTTTGTGTGTGTCCTTCCCTGTCCATTGTTGGCCCATCCATAGATACGAGGGCACCATGTAGCACAGCTGGACCCCCTGGGAATTTTGGATGCTGATCTGGACTCCTCCGTGCCAGCTGACATTATCTCATCCACAGACAAACTTGGTGAGGGTCCCGGGAGCAGTCAGTGCTGCGTTGCTTGAGCTCCTCTCTCTTCACAGCTTGTCACAGCTAGGCTGTCCACAGACAGGAGGGAAAGACTCTTAAGTTTCCTTTGTTCTGATCACTTGAAATTTGTAGGTGATGCAGCTGGGGTGTCCCTGAGTGTATTTGGCGCAAGTTACTTTTATCCCAGCCTTTCAGCCAGATTGTATCGGCTCAATTGTCTAAGGCTCAAAATTGAAAAAATAAAAATTTTGGACAGGAAAGGTTTGTGGTGCCAGGGGGGGAAATGACCCACCTGGGGCAGTAGGGACAGAAAATATCTCAGCTTTGCAGACCTCCAGAGCAGAGCTGCTTGCCCATCTCCCCCAGTGGAAGCCCGGCTGTCCTTACTGAGGCCAGAAAGGGGCCTGGCGGAGAGGGGGTTCTGGTCAGAAGCTGCTCACCCACCTTCCCATCCTGAAGTACGGGGTCCTGATTTGGTTGGGGCCGGTTGCGTCCCAGGCAGGGATGGGTTCAGAGCAGGCTGTGCAGTTTGGGTCCTCTGATTCTTGCACTGGTGATCACACTGAGGAAACTTTGGAAGCATTCTCACAGCCTGCCAGGAGGCCCAAGGCCTCTCTGCGCGATGCATGTGTGGAGCACAGACAGATTGTTGCCACGGTTGCTAGAATATGTTCTCATTGCTTTCTTCGCCTCTGATTTTGATCACCACCAGGGCTGGTGTTTGTTACGCACAGGGCTGAGCTCTCACTGCAGTTGCTTTCTCAAGTTAATCTGCTTTGAGTTACTGTGCTGCTAACCTGTACTGAAGAAAGGATGATGGCGACTAATATCGAAATGGCTGAGGCGCTCGCCAGAAATGTCCTGCATGCTAATACAGTGACAGTTACTTACATAATACTGCTCTTTGTGGGGTGAAATCAGCCTACTCTGTGGGCGTTTTGGTGGAATGGTAAAGAATAAAGGTTACCCCTCTCGACTCCAACTCCCATCTCCAACTCTCCACCCCCCTTTCCTCCTGTCACAACCTGTGGAGCCCCGAGACTCTCCCACACCCTGTGCTCACGTGTGTCCTATAGCTCCCCAGGCCCCGTCAGCGTGCTGACTCCTGAGTAGCCTTGGACCTAAGCAGCACCATGTCTTCTGCTCCTGTGCTGGCATCTGGCCACGTGCAGGCTGGCTACCAACATGGGGAGCCATCCCCTTGCTTAAGATGGGGCAGGCCCACCCAGCGTGAGTCCTGGGCCTGGAGGCTGCTGCCCGGGGGTGGTGCCCTGCCGGGGCTGTCCACCTCACTTCTCCTTAGTGAAGAGTGCTCTGCAGAGAGGAGACAGAGATGGCTGTTCTTGAGCATTTCTCCATTGTAGTTAGTCCAGAAAGTGAGGTTTCCATACTCAGTGAGACATCAAGCAGGAAAAGAGCATAGAAGATGACAGTCCCTCCTCTCCCCTGAAGTGACAGTTTCCCAGTTTCTCTTCTCTGGTGGCATCCACAGTTGTGGACCTTTTCTCGTGGTTCCTAGCCCTGACTGCACATTAGAATTACCTGGGGGCTGTAGAAATGATACTCTGCCCCACTGCAGACTCACCGAATCAGAGTGGAGTAGGAACAGGCAGCAGGGTACGTAGGCTTTTTGAAACTTGCCCAGGTGATTCCAACCCAGTGTTACCTCTTAAGGGTGAGCAAACCTAAGGCCTGTCGGCATGGCTGATTCCTAAGTCCCCTTGCTTTGGTGGCGGAGCCAGGATCAGGGTCTCCTGACTCTGTGGCTCTTTCCCTGCCACCTGGGGCCTTCCTGTGGGATCCCATCTGGAAGTGTTGGTGTTTCTCTGAGGTGTGTGGTTCTGGGTTTGGCAGCCACGTAGAGTGGGGTTGAAAGTCTTGACAAGACAACTTTATGAGCCTTGAGACTAAAACGCACGGAGGTAGCCACAGACCTTCTTCTTCTTTTTTTTTGGATCCAGAGTTTGCTTTTTATTTTTTAAATAAACTTTTTTTTTTTTAATTATTTATTTTTCTTGTTGAACATAAACCAATTCAGCAATTCCTGCATTTACAATTCATTGATTACATTCTTCAAGTTGTGCAACCATTTTCACCCTCCTTTTCTGAGTTGTTCCTCCCCCATTAACATAAATCCAGTGCCCCCTAAGCTTCCTATCTAACCCTTACAGTTGCTCTTGTTGGTTTAATCCCATATAGATAATTATTTGAAAGAGCACAATGCTCAAGGAAGACATTCTTTACTAATTAAGTTAAACTATTGTTTGATTTAAAGAAGACTTCAGGGGGTATTTTTGGCCACAGAACTTCTTGAAATCGTTGGAGGAAGAGATACATTTGACCCTCCAGGCAGGGGCCCTCAGGAACTGGTAAGAGAAAGTCAGAGAGCAGCTTCTTTGTGGGAGGAAAGTACATTTTCATCCTGTGAATTTGAAACAGTGTGACATAAAAGTATTAATAAATTCTTCCTTTAGGTGTAAAAAATTGAAATATGAATCTATAGGAAAATATGAGTCTTGAATTATCTCAGCCTTGATTTATGCAGGGCCTTGAACAAAACAACTGGTTAAAAAATGTGACTGCTATGTATTTATATAGCATTTAGTATTCATGATCTTATTTGAGCCTCACAGAGCCTAGACTCTGAAGCCAAGACTCCCTGGATTGGAGCCTAGCTCTGCCATTACTAGCTGTGTGACGTTAACCTCTCTGTGCCTCAGTCTCCCCACCAGTCTCAGTAAGGTGGAGTTGTAGTACCTACTTCCTAATGTTGTTTTGAAATTAGATAAATTCCTTAGAATAGTGCCTGGGGTATCCTAAGCTCTGTGTGTTAGCTATTGTTATTATTATGAACAGTCTTTTGAGAAAAGTAACCGCTGGACTGTCTGGTGGTGATGAGATAAATTCAGAAATCAGGAACTCACAAGTTAACAAGTGAGGAGTGTATATGGGTGGGAGGTTTAGGGCCCAGGAGAACTTCTTGTTGGTGGGTGCATCCATGTGGAGGGCAGAAACGGCCCTTCCAGGCCACTCTGTCCCCTTCTGTTCAGTAAAATGCCACCGAATTCTGGGCAGCCCAGTCCTTGCAGAGCCACACAGGGCAGGGCTGAGTGGCCATGCAGTGGCAGTCGGGTGAGTAACCCTACTACACGGTGTCCTGTTCCGCACAGTGTCTTCCCCGGAGCTGATTGCTCACGCTTCTTCTTAGCTGTCCTTCCCATTTCCTGAGGATGTAGACACCAAGTCTCCATTTTCTCTTGGGGAAACTGAGGCCCAGAGCAGTGATCACACCCCACGCAGGTTGGATGCAGCCCTGAGTAGCTTGTCATAGAATGTATTCTGCCTGTGATTGGAAAGGAGTGAGAAGTGAGGGGGCAGCAGTGGGAGGGAACGGGCTGGGGGTGATGACAGAGAAGAATGCCAGTATTTGACACTGCAGAACAGCGGGAGAAGTGGTGAACCCCCAGAGAGTACTTAATGAGGCTACCACAAAAATACTTTCACTAGCTAAATACTTGGGGTGGCTGGCATATTTTGAATTGAGAGCGCAAGCAGGGTGTTCTGTCTACTTCAGAATTTTTTTTTTTTTTAAAGAAGGTGTAATATGTGGAGTCATTTCAGATTCTTGACCTTTTATATCCAGTTTTGAAAAGATAGGGGAATGCTGGGCTAGGGTTGCCTATCCTGACTTCTCAGGAATTCTACTGATCCCTGAAGTCAATTAGACCCTGGTCCTCTCATCAATTACAAGATACTCGACAGACATGCAGGACTCCTGGGACAGCCAGTAGGACACAGGGACATCTCCCGTGGCCTAAGTCATGCAGAATGTACTTTTAAAATTGTGTGCTTTTAGAGCATCATGACTGTAATGAAAATAGTGTTAAAGATGATAGTACCCTTTGCCACTGAGTTGATTCTGGCTCGTAGCGACCCTATAGGACAGAGTAGAGCTACCCCATAGGGTTTCCAAGGAGCAGCTGGTGGATTTGAACTGCTGACCTTTTGGTTAGCAGCCATAGGGTTAGTGATTATTTTTTAATTTTCAAAATTTAGAATTAATTTTAGGACAATTCCTCAATTAAGTATGGGTTGTGTTCTAAAATTGTGCAAGTGCTTATGAGGAACTTGAGATACCCTCTCCCCTGAAGTGTTTTGTTGGTGATTAGGCCACCTAATTTGTGTGAGATTGTATCATAGGGGGAGAGGGCTGAGAGCACCACCTGAGATGCCTTGAGCGTGCATTTCCCACTACATGCTCCACAGTTAGATTCTTGGCCCCAGACTTCGGACCTGTGAAATGAGGCCCCACGTGAGGTTTGATGATGGGGAGGGGAGGGGGCTTGGTAGCATCACCTTTTCCTAAGGAGGTTTCTCCTGCATGGCTCTAGAGAAGGCACATGAATCAGGCTGCCAGCTTAGAAGTGCGTATATTGCAGAATACCAGATTCAGTCAGTTACTGACAGAAAAAGTCTAAGCGACAGTGAGCCCTGTGGGTTCTGTTGCCATCTTTTATAGTCTCATTGCTTAATAAGTGGACATGGAAACTTGACTGAGATCATGCATTGTTTCGCCTTAGGACTTGTAGTCACTACTAGTTATCCCTTCCTTACTTAGGTTTTGGGGGAGCATTGAAATTGAAGTCGCTGATCTTGTTTCTGACCTGGAGCTGCCATTGATTAGCTTTGTGACTTGGAAAAAGTGCCATTAACTCTTGTCCTCAGTTTTCTGCATCCTTAAAGTGCAGTGTTTGAGCTAGATTCCAACTTAAAGATGCCATTGTCTCCGGTTTCTGTGTAAATTCTATAGTATACATCTCACAGTGTTAAAAATAACTGAGATTTACCTTACTGTGAGATTGAAACATAATTAAAGGAGAGTTCAAGACAAATAAATTCTCTAAATAAAAGGGAGGAGAGCATGAAACTTCTTTGTTGTTTACCATTAGTAAGTCTGCAGGTTCCTAATATCAGTCTTAGGAGATGAACTCGAGTTA